AATGTGTGGCTGATAATCACAATAGGCAACTCAGACCTATGCCTGAGATCATGATTTTGACATGGAGCCATGGGCGCTTTTGAAGTCCAAGGTTTTACCCATTAAAAAAAAATCCGATGTTGTTTTCTAACTGACTAGGAAAGTTGGGGCCAGACTGAGAGATCACTGCTGCCCTTTGTAGTGGGCTTAGGGACCAGGACCACAACATCAGAATGAGACTGCACAGGCCTTTGAGATACCCTCTTGGAAATACATCATAGGGCTCTGTTTGGTTTGTTCTTGGACATCTGATTCCAAAAAGACGTGTTGTTTTGCTGTGTTGCCTTGGATTTCATCACATTCCCATGAGAATAAGCTTCTCTCTTATGAGAAAACCGATCTAACAACATGACATTCCTGGGTGGAAAATTCACAAGGCTTTGCACTAAGCCTTGCTACTCCTTGCTGCATCTTCAAACAAGAACAAATAAGCCAAGAAGAAAAGCTTCAACTTTCCTATCATTCCTGCCAAAGGAAACAACAGCCAAACAAGAGCTCATAGTCTCGTGCTCCTGGATGTCTCTCTCTGCTCTTCCAGGTGCTGCACGTCAGCTATGCTATAGTAACTACAGGAACTGCTACAACTCCCTCTCAAACATTAGCTTTCATAGTCAGTATGTAGTTAGAGACAGACCCACAGATCTGATGCTGTGTGAACATGCAGCCAGTGCCTCTTCTGCTAGAGGCTCAGCAGATTCAGGACGGCACTGAGTCCTTTTCCAGGCAGACACAGAAAGAAATGGGAGGACAGTGTTTTAATGGGTCAGGATCCTTGCAACATCTTTATAAGCAAATACCACAAGCAAATGTTTTCAAATATATCACCTTCTGAAGCTACAAATGAATGGATTTTCATTACTAAAGGAATCACAGAAGCACAGAATAGTGGAGGTAAAAGGGATCTCTGGAGATCACCTAGTCTACCRCGCTGCTCAAACAGGGTCACCTAGACCATGCTGTCCAGGATCCTGTCCAGACAATTTTTCAATATCTCCAAAGATGGAGATARTATCTCCAATGATGGAGGAAGAGATGTTGTTTTGATAACACAGAATTCAGAAAKGATTTTTTTTCAGCAGCACAACATCTACTTAACACTATGACGTGTGCTCCTAACTGAGGACATATTTTTTCAAACAATATTTTTCAATGTTTAGGAAATATTTCAATGTTCACCTGAAGGCTGAACCTTCAGGGATTTTCTACTAATGCTCTAGATGGGTATAGATTGGTGTGTCTTAATTATCTGTACAAATGAAAGATAAACAGAACAAAGCAAAAAAAAAAAAAAAGAAAGAAAGAAAAAGGGCTTATTGATAACCAAAACTGTTGCAGGCAAATGAAACAAATGGCCATGAACATTCAGGTTGAAGGCATCCCAAATGGCTTCAGCTGCCAGCTCTTGCTGCCTTGCAGAGCCAGTGTTGGATAAGTTAAGCAAACACCACTTCTGTATTTTCTGATTTTTCTGTCAAACCAACAGAGTCAGAGTTAAACCACTCAAGTGATCCACAGAACCTTCTCATGTGACCAAATAAGAATCACAGTAACCTGCATAATCTTCTGAGAGCTCAACAATTTTTTTTTTTACACAATTACAACCTTGCCTTTTTTCATAGGCTGCTGTCCATCAAACACATACCCCAGTAACAGCTAAAATAAGGGAATTGTGTAGCTTACCACACGTGTAGATGACATTAAGATGCTTTCGGATGCCAGGGTAACAAGGGTCTCCAAATTCATAGGTGCTGGCATATATGCTGCAACTCCTTTTCCCATGACAGCGCTTGATCATGATTTGGAGAGCAGTAGCTGACTGACACTCTGAAAGGGGAAAAAAAAAAAAACAAACTATTTCTGAATATTTGTCCATCCACATTAGACAGCTAGTCTTATAAGAGAGAGCAGAGGCATGACAGCAGATATGCATGAGCTTTCTATGAATATTTCAAGATCTTTGTGCATACATGGGAAGGTGTATCTCACTCTCAAATCCCTCTAGTAATTGTAAATTGTAAAAGGAAATTACAGAAAAGTATAGTAAAGAACTAGAAGCTCTTCCTCATCAGTAGAAAGAACGCTGCAATTAAAAGATGGCTTGGTACTAAGAAGAAAAGCCTATCCACAAGAATATCCTTCTTATCTGCTGTTTGTTCTATGAAGAYCTAAGAGAGGTATTGGTATCCTTATTTTAACAGATAGAGAAACAGAGAAGAGTCACAGAAAGAACAGAGACCAACAACATCACATCAGGGAACGGAAAAATGCTCAGATCTCGGGACTCTCCTTCCAGTGCATTCATCCAGAAAAGCCATAAGCTCTACATTAACTAGGAGACTGTCATAAGAACAGGAATTACACAAATACTACACTTAAAACACTTACTTACAATATTAAAGCACTGCTGATTTACTTATATTACTATGATAATACAATATATCAAAGTAATATGCAACATTATTAGCAAATTCTCACTCATGCGTGGAAGAGAGATAAATACGATCTTGTTTGGAGAAAGGCAAAATTATAATTTGAGTGCGATAGGATTTTTTTTCCTGGTTTTGTTTCATTTTGAGATGAAGAGATAGATAGAATCCAGGTATGTTTCTTTAGGCTTTTTTAGCTTTTGTTGTATTTGAGGAAGTTGTCCCATATCTGTAGTTACCATCTCTAACTCCATTCTGCAGACAGAGACAATCAGCATGTCTGTTTGGCCTTAAAGGATGCTCTATTTCTAAGTCTCATGACATCTAGGAGGTCTGATATCTATAATGTTACCAAGTACTTTGTGAGTATAAATATTGTTAACTGTGTTTATACCACGCAACTAGAAATGTCTGGCCTACCAGGACTTTAGAATAAGCAAAGCTGCAAAGATAAATATTTCCCCAACTAGTACATTTTATCAGATTGTTCGCTGCTCTTTTCTCAGCTAAGGTGAAAATGATTTGTACAGGCAGCTCTTGAACTTTGAGGTGCCAGACTGATAGTTTGCATTTACTGTCTGGCCAGGGCTAAGCACATGAGGCTGACAAGAAGAACAGTCTTCAACATCAAGCAGTTGCTAAAAGCAGCAGGAAAGCGAAGGGGAAAGGAAACCACTCTTGGTCAGTAACCGGGAGTCAGGGAAGGAGAGAAGAAACCCTACAAGGTATTGAATGCTAGAACCAGCACCACAAAAGCCATGACACACACAGGAAAGCCACAGAAAACTAAGCCCAGAGGGCAACACAACTTTACGTTCAAATCGAAGACAATATTTTATTTCACATGCTGCCAATGACAAAAGAATATGGGAAAAAGGGCCCCATGTGCATTTCATACTGAACTACCCAAATTTCCTTAGGGGATTTTTGATCCAGCGAGTGTCAGGGGTTCCAATGGAAACATCTGGCATGCAGCAATGCGGCTTTATTGTCTTTTTGTCAAATGTCCAGTTAAAGAAACTCATYAAATCTAAGCACTGTGCTGGATTTCATGGTGGGCACCCATTCTTTCTATTTATTATTGTTCTCACACAAAAGAGACTTCATTACAAAGCTGTCTACACCAGTGCCACACTCTCCCACACAAGAGCACGCTACCTCCTCAGGAGAGTGGAGAAGAATCCATGCAGCTTCCATTTCTGGTCCTGTGAGAGGCATGGCACGATTTTTGCATACATCCAGCAATGCTCACTCTTTGGGACACTCCTCCTTTAAGAACAAGCAGTAACTAAGCTCATAATCCACCTTCTACCTTAATCAACTGGGTTGACTCTTCAGCTACAAGACCTGAAGGTTCAGCAAATAGAAAATGCTTCTAGTTCTTTTCTCTGTGGTGTATCCTCACACTAAAATCATTGGCRTTTCTAGCCATCGTCAGTCATGTCTTGATTTTGAAGACTTCTGTCCTCCTGTGCAGTTCTGAGCAAGCTAAGATCTCCATCCACATTGACTTCTAGAAGACCAAATCGAGCTCAMACCTTGACATCCCATGACAGATCAMATTGTATAAGCATTACCATTTTCCTTAGCATGATTTTGTGCCAGCTAGCATTGCTCCAGACAGTGCACAGGAACAATATAATAGAGCTGTTCCCAATTATCAGATTGCAGGAAGCATCTCTGAACCTCTTGAGTGGAAGAAGGGTTGGGGAAGCAGAGGGTAGACAGGTTATTTGTTGACACATGAGGCCAGTCAGCCCTAGGACTGGGGCTCATTGTATTCACTAGTATAGACTAGTTAATGTGTCCAGAAGCTACCTTTATCAGCTAGTTACATCTCATTTTCCCCAGGAGAGGACAGTCTTGTCCATGCTACTCCTGAAAATGTGTCTTACTGTCCCCGGACGGTCATGAGAGAGCGCTCTAGCCCCTTCCTCAGCCCCAGGTACCCGTGCAAATGTAGCTTGAGTTGTAACATCCAAGCAGTAAATGAAACCATGCCCTAGACCATTTCTGGACTCTGAAGCCAACTGCTATGGAACAGTGTTACTGAGCATTTTTACTCTTCAAAACAGAGTTGTTAAGTCAGCACCACCTAATGGGAATAGTCCCAGTCCTAGTCCTATAACCCACCTCCAGAATTTCCTGGAGATTGCAGATTGTCTCCTAGACTAGAGAGAATTAGTTGGTCCAAAGAAACTAACCATGTCATGGACCACACTACTGCTTAGCCGTATAGATGTTAAATGTACTATTGTAGATGTTGATGTACTACTTCCAGTACATACGTGGCCTCTGATACAGAGTTTATCATGGCACAGACTACATCTCCATATTTACTTATCAAATATCAATGGTGAAATGCTCAACACTCCAATAGCAAGTCATTCCAGTCCAAATTGCACTAGTCAAAATTAGCCAAGTGCAGAAAAGATTCTATATGCTTCAGTTACAGATGGGGATGAAATCTCCTAACATAGAAGAAAGAAACAGGGAGAAAAAAAGTCTCTTTAAAAAAAAAAAAAAAAGTTTCTTTTACAAGGACTGGTTGTAAGCYTTAACACTGAAAATGCATCCAGGATAAGAATCATGTCTTGGGACTGCAGCATATAAACCACACTATAATTTAGTTGGAAGCAATATGTGGAGGTTATCCAGTCCAATCTCCTGCTAAAAGCAGGGCCAACTTCGAAGTTACATCAGGTTRCTCAGGAATTTGTCCAGGCAAGTTTTGAAAATCTCCACAGACAAATATTCCACAGGCTCCCCGAGCATCTGTTCCAGGTCTAAACCGCTCATCAGGTGAAGATTTTTTTCTCTTATATCTAATCAGATTTCCATTGCTGCAACTTGTGTTCATTGCTGTGCATATCCAAGAAAAATCTTCTACATAACCACCTTTTAAGTAGTAGAAGACAGCAATAAGTTCTCTCCAAGCATCCTCTTCTCCARGCCAAGCAAACACTGCTTCTTCAGCCTTTCCTCATAAGCCACATGCTCTGGTTCCCTGACCAGCTTTAGTAGCCTTTTGCTGGGCTTGCAAAATCATCCTGAGAACCCCCAAATGGGATGTTCCACTACTTCAGTTTCAGTCTTGTAAGCATCAAACAATGAATAAAATCTTTCCTTGATCTGCTTGCTGTGTTCCAGTTCAGGCCTGTGTCTGCTTAGTATTCATTGACACGAGAGCTTACAGATGAATCACATTTCAAATTGCACCCCAGGAAACCCTGGTCTTTTTTCTGCAAAGCTGCTTTATAGCCAACTGGCCCCCAGCCTGTGCTGTTGCAGGGTGTTATCCACGTGCCAGGCTTCACATCTGCCTTTTCAAATTTCATAATATTTCACAAGGTTTCTCCATCTCATTGAGGTTCCTCTGAACAGCAGCCCTTTCCACCAGTGTAACAGTTGAACTGCTTGGCATCTCCCTCAAACGTGGTAAGGGAGCACTTCACTCCATCATCCATAACRAAGTTGGTGCATTGATGACTGTTGAGGAGCGTCATTTGTAACTGGTTGCCAATCTGACTTCAGCAASCTTTGTGGAGGTTTTTGTAGCACTCCATTTCCATAGCTCTAATGGCAAATAAACAACTATAATTTGGGCAGGTCTTCACTGTTGTCCCTTACCTCCAAAGTCTAATGAGCTCTGAAATCTCACAAAATGTAAGAAGACTGGCAGGAACTCATCTCATACAACCACTTCACAAGACCTACCAAAAAGATTACTGACAAGACCACACTGCCACATGGCAAATCCAAACATTGCTTTCATTTGCCCCATGATAAAGCCTGAGCTTCAGTTGGGTCATATTCTTATAGACTTATGCAAATAGTCCTGAAAAAAAAAAAAAAAAAAGATTCTGTTGCACAAAATTTGACAAAACATTCACTTGAAAGACTTTGTTCATAAAAGGGAATTTTCCTTCATTTTCCATCCGTACAAGATCTAAGCAGAAATGGTTTGTGCCCAGACTCAAAAGAGCAAACAGCCCTTTACTAACCAGGAGGATACTGAAATTAGCTTGGTCTCTCTTTTTTACTTTCTTTTTTTTTTTTTTTAACCTGTCAACATGTCAGTCCTCCACATAACACATTGAACTGAGAAGGGTAAGAGAGGCATCATAACCTCCAGATGGGACCATCTCTCTCATGTACTTCAAAGGATTTGTGACAAGGAGGTCATTCAATTGGATGTCAAACTGTCATATTCAAGCATTTTTATTCCTTTGCTAACTAGCACTGGAGATGTCAATAGTAGATGTCTGAGAGATGGCTGAGGCTACAGCACCTTTATAAATCACAGAGTCACCACTATGACAATCAGAGTTTTGGAAGTGACAATACAATCTTTTCTTGTATCCCATGTCCCGGGAGTATAAAAATACTCAGCATCAC